ATATAACCTACTGCAATAAAAAAATAAATGAGTGACGAAATAAGTAATGTTATTGTGTTTTCTTTTTTCTTTAAACAGAATAATTTCTAAAATTCAACACAATGTTTTTAAGATTTAAACATTTCTTTTTAATTAAAACAAAAATAATGGAACATAACCCGTGTAATATAGCATCTTTTTCCTTTCCTTCATTTAGATGCCTTACAAATTTATTTTGAATTCTTGGTACAATTTACATTTTTTTATGTTTTTTATGTTTTTTTTTATCTGAATTAGTAAGCATGAGTAAAAATAACAGCAGCTGCACCCAGACATAATCTAATAACATCCAGTCCAGATTACTAAGTAGATGAAGCTAGTCAATAGGTTATGGCATTAATCTGCATTTGCTCTCAGTCCATATTTCTTTTTTTAAGCAAGTGACAGATGATGGAGAGAAAGAGCAAATAGAGGTTAAAGGAGGATTGACAGGAAGACAAGAAGAATCAAAGAAAAGTGTGTGTGTGTGTCTGTGTGTGCGTATCTGTCACCGACACTTAAGCTCCTCTGCTGGCCAGACAGACAGTGAGAAAGTGATGGGACAGAGATGAGATGAGGAGAAAGACGAAAGGACTGAAAAGTCAGGAGAGCAGCAAGATGAATGAAAAAAGAGGTGTGTGTATGCGTGTGTGTTGGGAGGAAACAAGACGGAGTAATGACAGTAGAAAGAGATGAAATAGATCGAGGGTTAATGATGGAGAGACGGGATGGAGTGATCGTCCAGGATGAACAAAATGACAAAGAGAAAAGACTGGATGATGGAAAAGTACAGAAGGAAGAGGAAATAAACACAGTAAGAAAAATGAAAATAAAAGGCGAGAAGCAGCTCGAGTACCAAACCCACCCATGACACCTACTGATAGGGAGGTTTTGTATGGCTGTGCATTCAAAGCCCATACTCCCAACTCAAACGCCGTTTGGCTTTGTTAGCTGACTGGAACGACTTTTCTGTTTTACCATGTTCATCTCTCATCATCAAATATTTGGTGACAAACACCTCATTAATATTCAGCTTTAAAATGAGCTTTTCTGCTCTGCTGCAACACGTCACACATTCTCCTCTAGCCAACGACAAAACAAATGATTCCAGCCAGCAGATGGATTTGTCAATAATCTGCTCTTTTTTATTTTTTATAAAGCTCACCTTTAGCTTGTTGGAGCTCTATCACAGTTTATTTATAAGGTTTACACCACAAAATCATTTTTTGGTGTGGAGTTCTGAAGGCCTTCCAACTGGAATAGAACATAAATACTGCTCCATTTATCATCGCTAATAGTAAATGAGCAAATACTAAAAGCAGGTCTGCACCCTTTAAATTGACATGTTTACAGTATCTTCTGCTTTGATCCATCACTGAAGTCAAACCTAGAGTTGGTCCAAGGGTAATTTACAGTTAACATTTACCACACAGAGAACAAAAAACAGGCATTTTCATTTTTAATGAAAACTACTTAACTTTGTGAGTTTATGATTAACATTAATTTCCTTCTATTCCATGTTTCAATAATTATTACTTGCAACCTTGATGATAGATGTGAGTATCAGTTTTTGACACTGTTTGACTCAAACTACCTTGTGGGCTGGCTGAAATGATAAGAACATTAGCCTTTGTGGTATCTGGCTCTTCACTTAAAATGCTGATTTAAGTGCATTGTCTCTAAACAATACAGATGGACTCAATTAAAAAGCACAACAAAAACAGGCTGCAGAAAAGAAAAAAAACAAAAAACTGGATCTTTTTTTTTATACCCAATTATCATTACTGGATTTGTGCCTCTGTGAGGCAGCAATAAATGTGACACTTAGGGACAGATGAGATCAGTAAACAATTAAAGAAACAAAAGCA